ACTGTAATCAAGTAAATCTAAAACTAACCTTATATTATTATGGATTGACCTTCCTCCCAGAAACCCTGATTGTGTCTCACTAATTATATTAGAAATACCCTTTTTCAGCCTAGCAGCGATAGCCCCAGAAAAAATTTTATAATCAGTATTGAGCAAAGTAATAGGCCTCAGATTGTCTAAAATTCTTTTATCTTTACCAGCTTTGGGAATCAATGTAATCAAACCTTGCTTCATACTTTCAATCAACACTTTTTTTCTAATACATTCTGTCAGGGAACTAAATAATACATTTCTCAAATCCACCCACATTTTTTTTTTTAATTACTTGCAAGTCCATCTGTCCCTGGGGATTTGTTCAAAGGCATCTTTTCCACAACTGAATCCAATTCTTCAATCTTAAGCTCTGAATCACATAAAACTTTAAAAGAGTCATCAATACGTGGAATATAGTTCTGGATTTTAGCAAAAAAAAGATCTGATTCATCGGAAGAGAAATCTGAAGAATAAAGTTTAGAATAAAACTGAAACACTTCTTTTTCAATTTTTCTACAATCTTTGCATTCCTGATCTTGGATCATTAAACTACTGATAGAGTTCCTTTGTTGCCTATTTTTTTCTAAATTACTAAAATATGAAGAGTTCTTTTCACCTTCTTCAATCCATTTAGCTCGTGATCTTATAAAAGCACCCTTAGCCCTCTCGAGATACAAATGATCTAATTTACTTTGAAGCTCCATCATCTTATCATTTTCATAATTATTTAAAACTGGTTTGTTACAGCATCGGCTTATTTCACAAATTAAATCTCTTTCATACTCCCTTTTTTCTTTGTTTAATTTCTTAGAAAAACTTAGAGAATTCCCTCATTTTAAATTTGAGAAATTCCCATTTACTTGTATTACAATCAAAAGAATCATTTATCTCTATATCTTTTATTAGTTTCTTGATTTTATTGCAGAATTCTTCATTATGTAAGAGAAAGGCATTGAACTTCCAATAACCTTTATTTCTAAATTTTTTACATTTTGGTTCTAACACGAGATCTATAAAGCAATGATCTGTTAGCGGAGCTTTAGAAATTGTAGATTGTGAAGCATATTTTATAATATTGTCACTAACCTTCCAATAATCTATTCTAGATTTGCTCTCTCCATTAGGGTTAAACCATGAAAAGCAATCAACTTCAGGATTTAAACATCTCCAAACATCATTCAAATTATTTTCTGATTTAAAAAAATCAATACTAACATTAAGCCGTCCCTTGTTAAGTCTAGGGGGCCATCTGTCTTTCCACTCATCTGGAACCATATTCCAGTCCCCTCCAACCAAAACATTTTCCGTTGGGTATAGCACTTCAGTTTCTGAAATAATATTAGAAATCTCTTCTACTAATTTCTGGTTTTGAATTGCATTGTTAAAGCCATAAACATTAATTAAAATGAAAAAAAGAACATCAATTTTCAGTACCACCATCAACCAATGACCGCTTCCATCCTCTTTATGAGTGATGACTTCCCCAGGACATTTGTTAAAGCATATTGCCACTCCTCCAGAACGATTAGAACCATGACTGAAAAAAATCTTGTCACCCCATTGATTAGTCCAGAAAGAGGTATCCAAACCCGAAGAATGAGTCTCTTGTAGAAATACACAATGAGCTTTCTGTCCTTTGCAAAATAAAAAAAAATGCTTTTCTTTTAACAGTGTCCTTTAAGCCCCTAACATTCAGAGAACCAAATACAATTTTGTCCGTAATCATTAACACTAAAACGGAAAAATGGAAAAAAACAAAACAAATAGTAAATAAAAGCACAAATTAAACCACCCCTTGTGAATTCACACTCTTACTCTATGAACCTTAACTTACAAATAGAGCTCCAGTGTCCCACTGAAAAGGTTTCCAACTACCAGTCAATTAGAAACGAAACACTTCACCCGTCAAAATATATCCGTCGACCTTCAATGAAGCCATAAGGACCGCGAAAAAACGCCGGTTTTCCTGCCCTCCTTGCTTGTTCAATTTGAGGCCATAACTTTCGTCTGTCTTCCAAATCTTCTCGAGGAAGCATCTCGGCGAATCGAACTCCCTCCGCCTTACAGACCGGTGAATTTTTGGTTCTCCGCCAGATTTAATCTTTCACTCGCCTTTGCGTGAACAGCACAATGGCATTCCTGCT